ACAAATTGCCATTGAACACTCACAGAGAGAGGCGCAGGAGGAGTGTTGAGTGAGCTCTTTGGAAATGTGATGCTTAGTATAGAAGAAGGGTTACCTTGGCAACAGCAAGCCTGCTTCATTACCAGATGGCATTAGCTTTATTTGTGGTATCCCAGAGCAGTTGCCAAGAACCGACCTATAGCCCCTGTCACTGGGCGTTTTGCCTGTGACCATGACCAGCATTGGCCAGTTTGCAGATGGCGTCCATCGGCCTGTGTGTGAGGTGCTGCCATATCCATCTACCCAGACTCCAAGGTCATTGCAGCCTGGTGCACCCAGATACATTAAAACTGGCCCAGGCCAGATACACAAGAATCTGAGTCACTGTAGAGTAACGCGAGGGCTAGAAAGAACGCCAGGGAACGCACGCTGTGCTCTAGCTCGATGGCGGAGCGTGAACGGCTCGCTCTGCCCTTTCCGCCACACTGCGCTGGAGACCAGCAGCTGCTCCGTTGAGTTCTGCGCCACACCCAGAGCCATGTGTCCCATGGATCATCGTGTTTAATTTCCCCAACAGGCCCTGCTGCTTGTCCCAGCCGAGTAAACAGGCACAAGAGGTCTTTTGACTTGCTCTTGGTCCCACTGCCTGCAAGTGGCCGATGTGAGACCGCAGCCCAGTGCTGTCGGCCGTCCCTCCTAACGGCCTCCTTTGGGAGTCAGTAAGAAGCACATTTCTGTTTGCCCTCAGGGCCCAGCGCACTGTCAGCCGCTCTCGGCACACCCCTCAGTCGCAGGCGTGGCGCGAGCTCACTGGAGGCGGCAGCACTGCAGGCTCAGCTTGGACATTAACTGGCTTCCCGTCTTCTCCTCCGTGAAGCCCCAGCACCTGGGCAGAGCCTCCACGGGACGTGTCCCCAGCCAGGCCCTCGGCCGCACCAGCCATCTGGGCACCATCTCGCGGACCCCGCGCACTTCCCCTGAGACAGGGCTGCGGTCGTCTTCGGGAGGCACGAGGGTGGGGATGCTCAGAGACCTGGCTCCAGAGCCTCGGACCGATGGGCTTCGGAATTGGGTGTAGAGCTTCATTATTGCCGTGTTAAAAACTGAAAAAGCTCTAACTGTGCACATTCGACCCAGGTGAGCACCAGGACCCTCCCTGGCTCTGTGCAGTAGTAAAGATTGACAAATGCCAGAGAGCTCTATGCATCTGAAAGGTAACGAAAGTAAACCAGAACAAGACTTCCTGATACCAACTGTCCATGAACGACTGCAGCCGGGATACGCACAGGCCATTGGGATCCTCAGGATATAGGTGCATGTAGGGTAAGGAAAAAAGTGGAAAGGAAAGTGTTCGCCCTAGTTCAGAGTCACACAATGAAAAAAATAATTTAACCTATCACCCTGGCCAAGTAGCTCAGTTGGTCAGGGCATCATCCCAATATGCCAGAGGTTGCGGGTTTGATCCCCAGTCAGGGTGCTACAAGAATCAGCCAATGAGTGCACAAATGAGTGGAACAACAGATTGGCGTGTGTGTCTCTCTCTCACACGCGCGCACGTGCGCGCGCGCTCTCTCTCTCTCTCTCAAAATCAATTTAAAAAATTTTAACCTATCAGAATTATTTGTTCCTCTTTCCTTCCTCGTGTTCTTGAAGTACCATTTCCCACTGAAAAGAACCAGGGCTGCCTGAGGAAATGTCCTCAGGCCAGCTTTGCATAAGACACCCTAGAATCTCAGGCACCAGAGAGCGAGAGGCATCCGAGAGGCCAAAGTTATGATGCAAAGGCTCTGCAGCAAGGAGATGCCCACCAGCCACAGGCAGGACAGTTCGAGCGTCGGTAAGCAGAGTGAGCGTCAGACAAAAGCACATCAAATATGCTTAAATCTATGAGTTTATAATAGCACTAGGGGAGACAAGCTAATCCCATCTACATTGGGAGAAAACGAGGGATGCGTTGTTTGAAGAACTGGTAAATAAAGAGAAAGGAAGGAGCACTTACCCCGCTTTTCCCATGGAATGAACTCTACCGCTGGACAACCAGATAGCAAAGGAGGGGAAGCTTTTCTTTTAAAAGTGCTCCAACCCGTAAATGAAAACAGAACGATTGCCTGGGAACACGCTGTCGGGAACCCTGGGCAGTTAACGGGTCGCCCACTGCCAGCCGCACAGTGAGACGCCTGACCTCGCGTGCCGCCCGTTGGTCAGCTCTGACACTGCCCGTGAAGGAGTCTTGACCAAAAAAAAAACAAAACCAAGCTCGAATCCCATCTAATTACCCACTGACAGGAAGCACAGAGCAAGGAGGCACATGGGAAGCACACCCCAGGGAGACCACCCGCCAGGTCCGCCTGTGGGAAGCTCGAGGGGAAAGTGCCCGACTTCGTCCACAAATCAAGTGGGTTTGGTAGCAGGAGAAGCGTAGCTTTCGTTTAGGAGAGGCTTCTGAGGCCTGTCCGCCAGTCACGCTGCGTGGATGGTGCTTGGGTCCTGACACAGCAGCCTTTCGCAAACACGCCCTGTGGGGGCTGCGGGAACCCGAACGCCCCGGGATGGAGAAGCGGGGGTGGGGGGCATTTCTCGTCTCAGATGCGGGAGCACCGTGGTTAGGCTTTGCTCTTTTCACAGCCCTTCTCTTTCAGAAATACAGAATGAAATAGTTACACGTGAAATAATGCCATAAGTTATTTGTTTCAAAAAAACACAGAAAGAGAAAAGCAGGTAGGGGAGGGGGTGAAACAAGATTTGCCAAGGGTTGTAATTGTTGACGTTGGAATGGGTCCCCGGGAGGTCTTTAGATCATTTCATTTATTTCTGTATATTACTTAAAATCTGTGCCCTAGCTGGGTTCAGTTGGTTGGAGCATCATCCCACACACCAAAAAGGTCGCGGGTTCAATCCCTGGTCAGGGCATATACCTAGGTTGCAGGTTCAGTCCCCAGTTGGGCGCATACAGGAGGCAGCTGATCGATGTTTCTGTCTCATATCGATGTTTCTCTCTCAAATCAATAAACATATCCTCGGGTGAGGATTTTAAAAAATCTATAATAAAAGATCTAAAGAAATAAATTAAGTTGGTACTTCTGGAGGGGCGTGGATTTTATTTTTCTTTAATAGCACCTATTGCTAGCAAGAACAGAATGAAATAGATGTGTTCATACCTTTCTGGTTGGCATAACCCTGTGGCAGTTTGTATCAAAAGCCTTAAAAATTTGTATTACTTGCTTCAGTAATTATAGTTCTACAGATCTATCCTCAAGAAATAACCCCAAATGTAGAGAAAGCTTTGCGAACAAAAGTGTGTGTCGCAGCCATAAAACAAAAAAAGGTAAATATAAAATTTCTGGTATTTTCAATGTTCCCCCCCCAACCCCCCAAATTCCAACTTAAGAAACTTGAGAAATTACTAAGGCAATTTACCAGTTATTTAAAGTCAGCTAGACTTTGGGGTGTTTTTTCGTTTGTTTGTTTTTTTAAGGAAGCAGTTGCTTAAGTTATCCTTGCTTATTAGCAGAGAGCCGAAGTGCGCAGCCGGATCCAGCGGCCCACCGTTAGACCTCACATGGCAGCCTTCCACGGGGGAGGCCGTTCATTTCAGTGCTTGCAATCACAAATTGTATCTCGCTTCCTTTGCTTCCCGCCCTCTCTTCCTGCCAATAAACTGCATGTGAACGAGAGACACAGTTGCTGTTCCTACCTTTGTGGTTAATTGGCCCCCTTCAGTAGTGACTCCCAGTTGTATGAGAAATGACCTCTTCAGTGTTACATGGTGTAGTTACATGGTGTAGCTATAAAAGTGCCATGTGGAAATATAAGTACAATACAGTTAATAAAATAGGATATTTTTATTAACATTTTCTTAAATATAAATAAGTGTTCCGTACTTTTTTCTTGCCCAGTTTATATTCTGTACCATTTTGGGCATACAAAAATGGAGAGGTCAGCTCAGAGCTAGAAGTTACTGAAGGAATAGCTATCAGGAACAGGTGTTAGGAATGCTCACCAGTACCTGGGACTAATCAAGGAAAGAGGAAGGGTGTTGTGGAAGACAGTCCGCGGGACAACCGCACAGAACGGGGAACTAGGAAAGGCTGGCTGGGTGGCGCCCGGAAACAGGCCACGGTTCGGGGTGGGGCTCTGTCCTGTGCCGGCCAGCCGGACTCCTTTCAGCCAGTTCTAGGCTGTCATCCTCATCGGTGCGACCAGATGCAGACCCTCAGGGCCTATGCCAAGTACCCCTCTGGGGTCTCATCTAGGAAATGAAGAGGCCAGGCAGAGCGCGGGGCCACACGAGCCCCCAGATCAAAGGAAGGTGCCGCGCCTGTCCTCGGTGTTAGGTGGTTCCAGCAAGCACAGTGGGGCGCTTTTTCCCTGGCGTATGTGAAACTGTGTTTTTTAGGTTTTTTTAAAAATCCATGTACTCCCTTGCAGTTCTAAAAGAGTAAAAACACTTAAATGTATTTCCAGGAATATGTTTCTTTTTGGAGATACAATTCAGCTCCTCTGTACTTCCCTTCAGAATTTACCTGGCGCTGCCTCACCACTGCTGAGCAACCGTTGTAAACGTATGGTTCCACGGGGGCGGGGGGGGGGGTACCTGCCCTTCGTCTCCATGGCACTCTCTGCGTACAACCCCCGTGTACGGGGGCCACGGTGCCACGTGCGCCCGCCGACCTCTAGCGCGCCAGGAGAGCCTTTGAGGAAGATAGGCTTGGGGCAGAGAGTAAGCTTCCGGAACTCATCCTGAGAGTCTGTAAGCCCAGATCGTCCCTGCAGCCGGGGGGTTCGGTGAGCTGGGCCCGCGGCGCCTTTAGTGGTTACGGAAGAGCTTGTTCTGCTGGGAGCGTGTTTCTGGGTGCTTCAGGATGCCAGCACAAAGGGCGGCCACCAGCCCTTCCTCGTGTCCTGCCTCGGTGTCCCCTGGCGCGTTGCAGAAACAGGAGGGAAAGCCCATCTTTTCATTGTGTGTGTGATTTGCATGTTCACGTGTAAGTGCTCACATGTGCACACATGTGTTCTGACAGGTGACCTTGGGGAAGGTGCTGAAAGTGATTGTCGTCATGCGGAGCCTGTTCATTGACCGGACGATAGTGAAGGGGTACAGCGAAAACGTCTACACGGAAGACGGCAAGGTGAGCGTGCTGCGGCCTGCGGTGTGTCTTGTCTTTTGTTCCCTGGGTCAGAGCGACTGCCATGGGCCCCCCGGTGCCTGGCAGGAACCACGAGCAGTCAGGGCTGAGGTGATCAACCAGCCCACATCTGGCAGTGTGAAGAGGGACGCTCTTCAAAATCATCTCTCCCTTCATTTTTCACCCAGCTTCTGCCATTCCCTTTAAGCCCGACGCCCTCAGCTGGGTTTCTGATTTATCTCCTCAGACCCCAGTTGCCTCATTAAATGTGTCTTCTGAGGAAATGTTTTTTTCCCCTACTCGCGCAGCACATCAATACCCCAGCGTTCAGCATTTTGCTTTTCCCAGAACCGTGAGGAAAATGCGAGTTAGTTTGGCACACGAGCTGCCGACAGTCTTTTTCCGTGAAACCAGCAAGCAGCCCTCAGTGAGTTGCTTGTCCACAGCAGCCCGTGCCAAGCACTGCAAGTGAAGATGCGTTCTTTCCATGGGTGATTTGTTTCATGGAAAGTTCACCCGTGGGAACCCCCGTTGCTCGCGGCAGCTGCTGTCCAGACGGCTCTGGGGAGCGTCGGGGGACGCTAAGGGGGCTGGCAGCCTGCGTTTGTGTTTGCTGCCCAAGGGTGACGAGAGCTCTGCGAGGTGCCCCCACTGCGCCCCGGTCCCGGCGGCACCTGGGTGCTGTCTCTCTCTCCGGAGCTTTCCGTTCTCTCCTGGGTCCTGCGTAAACTTAGAAGTTTGTTAGCTCTGGCACTTTCCACCAACAGCCACAGGAGAATGAGGATAGAATGTTCTCAAAAAAAAAAAAAAAAAAGACATGGCACATGTAGCTTAGTTCATGGCTGCAGACACGGGAGATCTGACCATAAAGTCCGAGCTGTGCACTTTGAACAAGTAACCCAGCCTTTCCACCTCTCACACTGGAGTCGGCTCCGTGCAAGCCTTCCGACAAGCGCACAGAAGCCTCGCCGGGAGTAGCGCGGCTTTCCTGCAGGGGAGATTTCCTCCTCCTCTTTGGAAAAACCAGGATAGCCTGGCGCAAGCGTAGGGGTGGAGTAGGTAACGGGGGGCAGGCAGGACCTGGTGTGTGTGACTCATCAGCTTGGGTGGGGGCTCCGGCTGAGACCTCTGCGCCGCGGGTCAGTGCCCGGGGCGGGGGTGCCGGGTGGGGGGGAGTGCGCGCCTCCCTGGCCGCCGGCCCCCAGTTGGTGTCGCGTGGCGACAGGGGTCTTGTTGCCTTGCTCAGGGTCTGCAGCTCTGTAGGCTCACCCGGTATCAACCGGCCCTTAAGAATAAACACATAAAATGTTAGGCACTAATAATGACCGCGCTGTAGGAAGAGGAGCCAAATTCAGAGCGCAGAGGACGCCTACTCCGAATCGAGAGTGTAAGGAGTGAGATTTTACCTGCTCTGTGTGAGACCTTTGATGTGATATTTACTTAACGGCCTGATACCAAAAGTGTTCAAAATAATAGTATAATGCACTTAGGACTCTGCCACCTAGCAAATACCCAATAAATACTAACGTGTTTTTTTATTGTTATTACTATTTTTCTGCACTTAAAACAAGGCAATTAGAAAGTAGTCTCAGACATATCCTGGCGCTTCTCCCTCATTACCCTCCTCAGTGGCTTTAGGTAGTTCCTGCCCTCGCATCTGCCCCTGGACCCCCAGTGTCCCCGGTCCCCTTCTCTCTGCCCCTGCCCCTTGGCCGCTATCATTCACCCTCTAGTGCCACGTGTCTCCCACGCCGGGGTCACTCCTGACCTGCTCTTGTGCCCCTCCTCCTCCCCAGGTGCACGCAAATTTAGCCTGTCCCAAACTAAGCTCACCTTCTCCCTTCCGAACTCGGCCTCCCTCCGCGGCTCCTCGCTCTGGTGAAAGGCCCCACCGTGTAATTGCTCAGCCCTTGCTTCCCTCTCTCCCGCACCCAGCCTGGCAGCGGGTGCTGGCGAGTCTCCCTCTTCCACATCTCTCCGACGGGCCCCTCCTGACTCTCTCTGCCCCTCGTAGGCTCGTCACCTCTCGGCCGAGTGACCACGCCAGCCTGCAGCCTCACCACCCCCCCACCCCCGCAGTCTGCCCTTCACTTGGCTTCCAGAGCCGTCTCCTAAAGGGCGATTCTTGCTTTTCGCCATCTTCCCATGGCCCAGAGCAGCCTCCCAACACAAGAAAGGGAGGTGGTAATAGGTGTTAAGCCCAAAGCAGTCCACGGTCAAAAACGTGTGAGGCGCTCTGGGTTAGAGGAAGCTCAACAGGCCTCTTCACTGCAGAAACTCCTCAAGCCTTTGGTTTGCTTATGGGCCTCACGAGCCTTCCGTCGGGGGTGTGTAGTGTGCCGTGTTTTCCTGTCTTATTTTACTACCAAATTCTTCGCTTCTTCCTTTGCTCTCAGAGCATATTGGGACACCGGCATTCTGCAGAGCGCGCTTCCAAGCGCTCCAGCGCGTAGACCGTGATCCGGACTCCTCCGCGGGCCCCCGGGGCCTGGCTCGCCTTCCTTTCTGCCCTCAGACGCGTCTCGTCTTCCTTCCAGCCTCTCGTGCTGCTGGGGCTGCCAGGACGCTCGGGACTCTCACAGACGTTGGCACCCGCTGTGCCCTCGGCCTGGGTGCCATCGCCTTCTCGCCCGCCTGATACACCTCTCTGCTCGTCACGCGGGCTGAGCGCCGTCCCCTTCTCCTCCCGTCCCCGTCGGAGTCCTCCCGGGGCGCAGGCTCGGGAGATGGCAGGCCCGGGGCTGCCTCGCTCTCGGCACAAATGATCGTTGTTAAATCACCCGAAGCGTTTGGGACAGTCTTTTTCTCTAACTAGAATTAGTACGTCGTGGTTATTTTTTACATGATCTATCTTACAATTAATAGAAATACTAACATACGGGGTATTGAAAGTATCCAGCCATGGAATATGAAAAACAGGCATCTACTCAAGAAGATACAAGAAACATTGTATATAGCGCAATGATGCCTCGGTCACCTTCAAAATGGGCATCTTGGGACCTCACGCAATTCTCCCAGTTGCCATCAGCTGTCCCGTCGCATTTTCCTGCATCTCATCGATGGTCTGAAATCTCTTCCCTGTCAAAGGCAATATTCGTTTTGGGAAAAGCCAGGTGTCACAGGGCGCCAAATCTGGGCTGTAGGGTGGCTGAGTCACCTGGATGATTTGATGTTTCACCAAAAATCTCTGCACGAGACGTGATGCGTGAGTGGGTGCATTGTTGTGATGAAGCTGCCAATCAATCACCAATTGCCCATAGCTGTGGCCTTCTGAATCATTCGAATACTTTCTGCAGGAGAATATTCAAGCTTAACACAAAATTTGATGCAAATTTGTTGCTCTGTGTGCTCAGTCATTTTAAATGCGACGGCCACACAGTTCACATGCTCACTCAATAGTGTCTAACATCCCCACCGACTAGTACAGTGAAGGCGTCATTGTTCACACATGCACATTCCAGTCCGTTCTCCTTGGCTGCCTGGTTACATCGATGTGGCGCACACTGTTCTTGTTACGTTAACAGTGGCTGGACTTCTTCTGGACAGACCTCCAGTGTTAGTCTGGTCAGCATTGTACCAAAGCAAACTCTGCCTGCAGCGGTTATTGAGTCCTAGGCTCATTTTCCAGATAAGGAGACTGGGACCTAGAATGTAAAGTGACTGGCCCGCAGTCACACGGAGCCAGACTGCAAACCTCCCTTTTTCGGGAGCTCCTGAGGGCCCTGACTCTGTCCCGTGACTGTCCCCTGAGGATAGACCTCAGTCCCTGGGCCACAGAAGCCCAGTAACACATGGCAGGGGTCATGAGACAGCCCACATGAGCTGTGAAAATGCTTTCTCTGGAATGGAAGGGGAAGAATGAAAAATCAGAGATCGGCACTAAAGGAAGCAGCAGGGAGCAAAGCTGTAAATCAATCAGAGAATCGAGGACACACACGCACGTGCACATGCTCCTGTTTGCCCAGGGAGCCATGAGCGCGGGCCTTCCGTTCATCAGAAAGGGAATGCGTGGGTCCAGGAACCCGCATCCTGCCATGATATGTGTCACCAAGGCAGCGAGGGAGGCCCTTTGTCCCCTTGACAGTGGCAGGCGCTGGCCCGGGTGCTGAGCAGCAGCCCGCAGACCAAGACTAGCCAGGCTGTAGGGCTGAGTCCGCCTGTGAGCTGAAAGGCACTTTAACCGCGTTTGGCCAAGCAGCTCTCACAGGACTGCTGCGCCCAGAGTCAAATCCCAGCCAATTGGATTGGCCCCTTTTTTCAGAGCACTTGACAGACGATAGAAGTGAAGCCATGCAGCTGTTACTAGTCTTCTGCTTTGAGGACCGCTACTGATATATGTGAACCTAGATATACTTATGTACAGGTTAGCACTGGTGCAGTCGACGTGTTGAGAGGTCTGGCTTGACCCAAATAGACGGTGACGTTGGGAGGGTGCCCTTGGCGCTCAAGGTGTGGCCCAGCACAGCAGACCTTTGCTTGAAGCCTGGCCGGTCCCTGGATGCGCCCTGCACCTGCTCAGCCGCTGGGGGTGCCCGAGCCTAGGGGGCGGGGCAGGAGGGCGTTTGCTGCAGCCACGGACATGGTGGGCGTGGCGTAGAAAGCCTCTCTTGGGCTTCTGGGCTGTAAACTTCCGTGTCTGCAGTCATATCTGTTCTCCAAACCCAGGGCCACCAGCATGTTCCAAAAGGCTCTCTGACCCCTGTGGCTGCCGTGGTGGCCCCGCTGCACCCCACTTTCCAGCCCGGCAGCTTTCCTCTCAGAACCGCAGCAGGGTTGGCCGCTGGGGAAAGGGCCCAGCCCTGCCCCCTCACCCACGGTGCATGTTCTTGATGCCGAGCACCGGCAGACTGATTCCTCTGAGGAAATACAAAAATGTTTTTAAGACTCACTGACCTGGTATTCACCGCAACCAAAGAGGCACAAGGAGCCGTGACTCAGCACATTAAACAGCAGGTTTGAACTGACTACCTGGCCATTCTCCTGATTTTACTACCAGTCGGACTTAACTGAGAAAATGCAAGGGTCTCAGTTGAGTTTGTCTTATTAAGGGATTTAGGTTGTTAAAGCCGCAGCTTCATTAACTATCCCATATCAATTAAAAAGGGAAAGAAAGGAAGGCTGCTTTTAGCCTCCTGGCATAAGAGAGGAAGAGAAACGGTGGTATCAAAGGGAACCTTCAAAGGCAGCTGGCCTGTCTCCAGGGCAACTTCTGATCCCCGCATTCTTCCCACTTCAAAGTTGGGGGGAGGGGGTTGGGCCGGGAAGCTTGAATCTGATTTCTCTAATAAGTGTTGGCATCAGCCCTGTTTGATATTAGATGCAGGGAACATTTTGATTTGCTATAGCCTTTGAAATTGTTCAGACGACCTTCAGAAAAATGGCCTCTTGTTACTAATGGGGGAAGGGCGCGGGCGGAGGGTGGAGGGGGGCGCCCCGACGTAACTGCCAGGGAGAGGGCGTCCAGAAGCTGTGGCTTTTGCAGTTTTTTAGTAACAAATGTGCGTCCTGATTGAAGGTGAGGAAAGTTCAAGAGTGGCAGACTGGTAACTGCGTTCTTTGGTAAGATTCGTTCATTCTTTCATCCTCCAGGGAAGGGGGGGTGGCTAAGAGAACCAAGCAGTTAGGGTTTGAACACCTGGGCAGCCATGGAGAAATCCGTCCCCGCTGCTGGTTGATGACGTCCCTGCAGACGCGTCATCTCTGGACCTTGTGAGACGAAGCCACGGAGAAACAAAAGCTTTAAAAAGCTGACGGCCCTGTGAGGCTGATGACTTTTATTTGGAAGTGTCAGTTTCAGATAACTTAGAGTTCATTGTGTTATTTTCTAAAGTGAAGAATTGATCGCTTTCTGATGAGCTGCCGGAATTTTCACTCGCTGCTAAAAGCGCCCTAGTGCGGTGCTTGTCGCCCTGTAGGCCTGGAAGCAGCTCGCCGTGCGGAACTCGGCGAGAGGCTGCCCGAAAGCCTGCGGCCGCCCAGGGCAAGGGCTGCGGTCGCCGGCCACCTGGAGTCCGGCCGAAAGGCTGTCTTCCTGCAGGTGACGAGCGGCGCCTCTGGAGGCTGCCCTGGTTTCGGATTCTCCACCACACGTTAACCCTGTGGCGCTGGATGAGTTGCTTAACTCTGAGCCTCAGCTTCTCCACCTGGGAACTGGAAATAACTTCATCACCCTCGTGCGGTGGCCGGGAGCATTTGAGGAGAGAACGCGGGTGCGGCGTCATCGTTGGTGAGAGGCCCCTGCCTCGCCGGCCGGGGCGGAGGCCACCGGGGCTGGCCGTCGCGGCAGTTAGAGCCCTGGCCCACTGCCATGGGGTCGCTCTGGTATTTCTTTTCACTGAGTACGTTTCATTGTCACCATTTTCACTAGTTCTTCCTGTGCGTTGAGAGGGCTGTTGCCGTCTTGATGACTGACCTGAAGACAGACGTGTCTCTGCCAGGGCACTTGGTCACCTGTGGCGTCCATTGTAGCGAAACTGAGAACAGACCATACTCCCACCCCTGAAATACGCCTCCCAACCCCCACAGCCCCGGAGGCCGCTCCCAGGGCTGGGCTTTCGGCCACCGGTTCCCCTGAGGTTGGTTCTTCATTTCAGGATCTGTCTGATGCCTGCCCAGAATTCCGAGGGATGCTTTGCTTGCTTTTTCCCGACACTGTAATTCAGAATAATTCCCCATTCATCGGGCTGAAAGCACACAGCTCCCAGAACACTCCTGTGGGAACACCGTCCCAGCAGAAACGGCAGCCCCTCTCTCTGCCTTCGCAGCGGGCAAGCTGAAGCTAATGAACATTCACTCGGGTCAGCCCTGGCCGCCTGAAATGAATTTTCAAAATCTTCCTGGCCCTGAGGAGAGACGGGCTGTCGACCCCAGAATGCCTGCTTCAGTGTCTTTCTTTGGCGTAAATCTAGCAGAAAATCATGTACACACCGCCTGCTGTGCCTTCCCAGCAAAAGCAGAACCCATTGTCATCGGATCCCTTTCTTACCTGAGTGCACCTGGTAAATGGGGCGTATTGTCCACCGTCTTTCTGTCCCAGATGGTCCAGGCTGTTCCCTAGGGTCCCAGATAATGCAGTTAAACTGCCTTTCAAAAAGAGCAGCGTGCGCACATTAAACAAGCAGGGTGTGTTTTGAGAATCCGCAGCCAGGCTCGCAAGTCAGGCTCCTAATGAAACCGACGTGTATTTCTCTCTAGGGGATTTTTCTGTTAAAACCTTTTGCTGTACTGAAGGGTCCTTTAAAAAAAAAAAATTTCATCTTTGAAACAAAAACTGAAACTTCTCCATCTGTCTGCAGACCCTTCCTCTCCCGGCCCTTGTTTTTATCTTGGTGTGCCTTGTGCGGTGGGAACAGGCAGGAGGGGGCAGCAGTGGCGAGAACTTCAGAAGACACAGCTGTGATCATAGACACGGCAGGAGAACGCATCAGTTCCAAGTTCAGACATGGGCGTTACTCCTCCTGGAATTCGGATTTAGCACCTTTGTCGGGTCTTGGCAGCGATCTGGTAGAACTAAAAGGCACAGCACCGCGTTCACCCTGCAGTCCCGGGATAGTCCGTAAAGCTGCATCGTCCACGCCCCGGGCTGCACTGCTGGCCGGGAGAGGGCCCGAGCCTGCCCCTCCCTGCAGGGGCCAGCCGCCCAGCAGGCCCGCTCCGCGGCGGCCCTCACACGGGGAGCTTGCTGCCGGTGTTCTTCCGCGCTTTCCTTCACACTTGCCTGGAAGGAACACGTCGTCCCCCCACCCCCACCCCGTCCCCTAGAAATTACTAACCTGTTGAGTTAAAATTTTAATTCCTAAAGATTTAAAAAAAATTCTTCCCCCATCATTTTGTTTAACCAAGGTGGGGGGTGCGTGGTGCAGTGATTGAAAATTGACACCACCTTTCTGGAGAGCAGTTTAGCCAGGATAGAAAGAGACAGGGGTTTCGGGGGCTTTTGTGGAAATCCAGGAAGGGCAGGGTGCCAGCGGGGGAGGGGGGTGGATTTGAACGGCTTCCCTCGACCAGTGTTCTCTGGAGGTGTGTCGGGGCTGGCCCCGCCAGAGCCCCGCCGTGGCCCTCGGAGCTCAGGGCCGTTCTGTTGCCCTCAGGGTTTCCAGACGGGGCAGAAAGGAGGAAGCCCGGAGGACGGGGTGGGCTGTGTGTCTGTTCACAGCCCAACTTTTACTTTCCCAGGACTGTTTTCAGAAAGCCAAGTTTTGGTGGTTTCCTCTAGACAGAACTGTCACCTACCAAATGCAGCACTTCCCTTCCTGTCTTCGTAGAGAAGTCCTCCCATCTGATCGCGTCTCACGCTCCCAGGAGTTTCAGAATCAGCGCCACAGCACACAGGCTTAAGGCGCCACGTCTCGGCTCTCCCCCGCGACCACTGGCCAACCCCAAAGGCAGGTTCCCGGAGGCCCATGGGCCAGGCGTTTCAGTTTGCTCAGCTCTTGGACTCACATGCTAGAGCTGACTCTTTGGCACCAGGGGACACACTGGCGGCACCTCGTTTACTCTGCGCTGTCCTCCAGCCCCCTGCCCGCTCTGGGGGGGGGGGCCGACGCTGGCGGTGCTGTGCTCATTCATTCTTAGATAGCGGGAGAGCGCCCATTCGACGACGCCTGCAAACGTGCGACCCCAGAGTGGTTCCGGGGAGGCTGTGCGCCTGGGGGACTGACGGCACGGCCGCAGTGCCGCCCGCCGGGCCTCTGCCTCCCCGAGTGGCCGCAGGGGCGCCCAGGGCCTTGGCACCTGGAGAACACCACGGAAACCGACGCGGGAGCAGACTCTGTGGCCAGACCCTGCGGGCCGGGGCCTGCGGCGGGAAACCATGCAGGTGTCGCCAGGGCTCCTGGGCCCGCCAGGTGCGGGTGCCATCAGGCGGGGCCACCCAAAGAGGCCTACCAGTCACCTGGGCAGGTGAAGGGCTCCGAGCCGTGTCCGTCATGTGGAAAGTGAGGTGGGCGTGGAGGCGCCGTGCGGTGCTCCCCGGCTGGGAGCTTTTCTCCCCTCAGCAAAGACCCGCCGCTCCCCACGACATGGGAGGGCCCAGGCAGGACCACGTAGACTCAGGAGGTTTCAGGCAGTTTTAAATGCTATGAAACTTAAGTTTTTGAAAGACTAAAGAGAATCAAGATATAACAGGCATGGGAATAACATTTCAGATGAGTCGTTAGGCAGCGCCCGTCGGATGGGATGTCGGATGGGGTGACGTCTGAGCTCCAGGAGCTGCAGGGGGGCCGCGTGAGGTGCGTGGGGGAATAGTCCTTGCAGAGGGCGCAGCTGGGGCGGAGGCCCCGGGACAGGGTCGGCCTCGGCTCTGGGGCCTTGGGTACAGCCGGTGCCTCCAGGTGACCTCTGCGAATCCCTTCATTGGCCTCCTGGAGTCGCCGTTGCCACCAGCGTTCCAGCGGGGCGTTTAGAGCCCTCCAGCCCAAGGGTTGTTGCTCTGTGATCATGTTTTATTTTTTTCAAGCTTCATAGCGGGAGTTAGGGTATCATTTTTTTTAACTCCAGAGTCTTAAAATGGATGCTGATGATACTTCTTCTCTTTTCCCCCAGCTGGATATATGGTCCAAGTCTAACTATCAAGTATTCCAGAAGGTAAGTTACACTTTTTGCTTCTTTCAAGAGGCAGTAAGGGAAATGCGAGTGCTTTGAGGTATAAACATTGGCCTTTTTAAAAAGTGTAAAAAGCCAGACACAAAAGGCCACTCCTGGTTTGATTCCATTTGTATGACAGTATGGAAAAGACAGACCCTTCAGAAGAGAAAAACAGATCGGCGGTTGCCAGGGGCTGGGAGCGAGGGCAGATTGTCCCCAGCAGGGGCGAGGGCATGTGGTTGGGTGACGGGAATGTTCTGTGCATTAACTGTCGTGGCGACTCAGCAGCGGTATGTGTTCCGAAGCCAGTGGCGCTGTGTACCTGCTACGAATGGCGAATTTTATACATGTAAATTATACCTTTAAAAAAAATCAGGCTTTTCCGTTGTTCGAAGCTCAAGCCACGGTTTTTGTCTCCAGTTTCTCAGAGCCCTTGCGGTCCCTGCAGGTGCCGTGGGGACAGCCACGGGAGGCAGGCTCGTCCCACCCTCACCCTGCCCCACCCCCACTGCATACGCTGGTGCCCCTTTGTCAGACGTTGGGCTTCTTCATGAAACACTCTCTGGGAAATGTTAGGAGGAACATGAATTGAGACTAGAGAAAACCACCTCCCCGCTCCTGACGGGGGCGGGGGGCGCATCCCTGACCCAGTGCCGCCCCAGGGCTCAGGAGGGCTCCCCCACCTCCCCTGCCCGGTGCTCGGGCCGGGTCCTTCTGTCCCCGCCCCTCTGCTGGCCCTGCACCCCCGCACCGTGCAGGTGTGAGGTTGGTGGGAATGTCATTCGTTGCCGCGTCAAGTTCAGGATTATGTATCGGGCCCCTTTGCCATGTGCCAGGCACTAGGCCAGCTGCTGGGGATGCAGGGGAAGCCTGCAGACCGGGAGGCGCAGTGCGGAAGGCGAGCCCAGGTGTCACTTAGGGCATGCGGTCGAGAACGGCAGGAAGGGCCCCTTCGCGTTGGGCGGTCGCAGGAGGGAGGCCTTTCGGGACAAAATCTGAGCTGAGACAGGTAGCACGAGATGAGCCAGCCGTGTGAAAAGCCAGGGGAAGAGATTTTCAGGCGACGCAGGCGTCAGCGCAGGCCCTTGCACTGGGAGCCTGTGTGACTGGACCGTGCAGGGGTGAGAGGCAGAGGGCCCCTGGCGCGGGACTCAGCACTCAGTCTCGATTCGCTGAGAAGCCGTGGGAGGGAGGGATGCAGGGAGGGGCGGGGTTTTGAAAGCGGGGCCTACATTATTCCCACTGAAGCAATAGTCGTGTCCTAGGTGCACCCGGTAGTTAGCATAGGGCCTTTTTTCCACCCCGTGAAATTCACACGATACTAACCATTCTAGAGTGAAGGATCCCATGGCTTTTAGTGCTGACACAAGGTTGTGGCACCACCCCCTGTCTGGTTCCAAAACAGAAGCCCTTCCCACCCAGCAGTTGGCCGGAGGCTTTTTGGGTCAAAGGAGCGTAGCAGACCGGCCTGCAGTGGCGTCTGCCATGCATCAGGTTCACGTGGGTCCCGCACCCGCGTGCTGTGGAAGGGCGAGCCGAGGGCGGGTGCCGGCGGCCGGGGAGGAGTCCAGGGCTTGGCGCCACCTGGCTGGGGGCACTCATCGGACAGCCCAACCGCGTCACAGCCGCGTGCAGTGTGCTGCCGGGGTTGGACCCTGGAACAGAAGACGCTAATGGGAAACTGGTGAAATCCAGGTCATCTCTGGGGTCCAGCTCATCCTAAGTGACCGATACTGGTTTTTCATTTGTGCCGAACGCCCCGGGCATGAAAAGTGTTAACCGTGGGGGAGCCGGGTGAGGTGTGAACAGACGGGAAACGCGCACCGTCTTTGCAACTTTTTGGTAAATCTAAAGCTGACCCAAAGCTGATGTTTATTCAACAAAGAACATCACAGTCTGGACTCTTCCTACACTGCCTCCCCCAGCTGAGCCACCCAAAGCCGCGGAGAAGAAACTGCCTTCTCCCTGGCCTGGAACTGGGGGCAGTTGGCAGTCCAGGCGGCCGCAGTGCCCATCCCAGCGGCTGTACCCGAGGCCTGTGCGTGCCGACGGCCTCGGCCTTTGCTGCCAACTGTCCCTGCTGACGGCTTCTGCCAGTGTCCCCGCAGCTGGCTGGAAAGACCCCGAGGAGAAAGGACACTGGTCATTATCTGCACCTCGTCTCGCTCTGCTGGGGAGGAGCATTCAAGCAGCTTTGCGGCTCTTTTTAACCTGGCCTGTCTCTGTGTCCTCTGCGGCATCCCCGTGAGCAGGGCACACAAGGCGGGCGATGGCTTCTGGGGCACGGGCGTCGCGGCTCGTGACCCAGAGTTTTCACTACGGGCAGTCCCTATGCACACGCCCTCAAGGACGGAGGGCCTCGCCCACACCTGCCTCTGCACTGGTGTTGCCCATGTTCTGGGCGTGGTAAGCACTCCGAGTGCACGCAGGGGGTGGGCCAGGAAGCTGTGAAGTGTGTGAAGCGCGGATCTGGAGAGATGGAGTATGTTTTTATTCCGCCTTCCCTAAAAATAACACTTCTTGTGTTTGTCTAAAACTACACACACTAAAGCAGTGTTTATAATTTGATATTAGTCTAGTTGGAGAGATTTAGGAACACCTGCCAATTCCGTCCTTGTCATTTATGTTACTGTTGTCTGGAGAGTAGGATGGATGGGTGTGCGGGGGTGGGGCTTTCTCTCACCTGGTGGGCGGCGCATTGTCTGTACCGATGCAGTGCGCTCCTTTTATCGCCTCTGCCCTCGCCTGTTTGTAACCAGAGGGACTGGACCTCTGACGACGACCTGTGCGAGGTTCAAGAACCAGACAGGGGCAGGTGACAGTGCTTTCCAGTTAGCACTAAGGGCCGGTCACGCCAGCGTCCTCTTCCCGTTTCTGGAGCCCTGCCTCTTCCCCACCGGAACGTCTCCTGTGGGCTGGCAGAGGAACCGGTGTGTTGGAAAACAGTGTAGGAAGGGTTGGGCTTAATCCTTCATTGTAAAGCTCTCACCTAATTATCCTCGCACAGAAATGGTTTAGGACCCTGTTTTTAAACGTCTACTTTATGTGACTGTGCTAGCGGGAGCTGCCAGCCAAGAAGATGATGACCGGTGTGGGGCCGTGGCAGGCGGCCGCACTGGGCTCCGGTCGCCAGCGTTGGCCACGGGCCGGGCGGGGCCAGAGAGCAGGCCCCCACTCCCCAGCCCCCTGTGTGAAAAGCAGGGAGCATGTTGTCATTGCAGATTCTCAAGGCCTGGTGCAATTTATGGAGAGATGTTGAGCATTTCAAACTCAAAATGCCAACAGAGAAGGGTTAGGTGGCAACATCCCTAAACTCTACTTTTATTAGTACCAGCTTTTTCTCAGAATTCTATTTTCCTCTTGTCCACCCACGTAAGTTTCAAGTGTCCTGACTGCTGTTGCCTGTAGCACTTCCGGAAAGACACCAAGAGCCCATGGGGACCATGGCCCCTGTCCACAGCTCCTGTGCATCCTCGCCCGAGCCGGCCGTCTAGGCAGACCGGTGGGAGCAGGTGGCCGCCTGCAGGAGAGCTCAGCTCGAGCAGGCAGGGGCCGCTCTGGGGGAGCACACTGACTGGCCCAGGAGGCTCCTTGGCCATTAACAGGGGGAACTTCTCAGACAGAAAACAGGGCCCAGGTGTCTTGGCCATGTTGGTAGATGCCATGCTGCGCTGCCCCCCCAAACAGGGCAGCTGGGCCACTGCCTCAGCTCCTAGGAGGCTGGGGGGTCAAAGCCCGGGACCTCCTTCCCTTGGCGTCCACTACGTGGCCGCAGTCACTGCATGTGGTGTGTGTGTTCCTGCCCACAAACAGCAGCGGTGGCCGCTGCAGAGAGAGGCCTTCTGGGAAGGAGGGAGCCTCCCGGGTCCTTCCCCTCAGACAAAGCAGTGGCGGAGAGAGAAGCAAGGCAGCCCAGTGCCACTGACCTGAGCCTTTTTATTTCTGGAAAATCATGTTGGGAGCTCAGCAGCACACACCTGTCCGGCTCTCCACGGGCCACGCTGCCGCCTGGGTTAAAGACAGCACACAGGGGCCTATCGCGAGTCCCGCCACATGAGGCTGCACAGGGCCTGCCCTTTGTCTGCCGTGGGGACTCAGCCGCAAGCCCTACTCTCCTCCTCATTAGACCCCCTCTTTGCAGGAGTGGGGGCGGGGGCGGGGGGCTCGGCACAGTGTACAGCAGTCCGCAGCTGCCCATGGGCTGCCGTCGTTCGCTGCAGGGTCCCGGAGGCTCTGTGTGCTCCGTCCTGGGGCGAAGGAGCTTTTTATAGCCAGCATGGCTCCAGCAGAGCAGGCTCAGAGAATGGAACTTAGGAAGAGGGGGACCATCTGAAAGGGCAGCCTGACAAAGAGCCAGGAAAGGTTTCAAGCGTGTTCATATTTTTCTGACATTTAAACTCTGCAGGGCAGTCACCGTTTTGATCTTTAACCTCCTCATTTCAAAACAGTGTGCATTTCCCTCCAGTAACTTAGGACGTGTGAGAGGTGATGTGCAGCTTCGCCCTGTGTCAAATCTCGGCAGGGCATGTGCCGCCAGGGGCAGGTGGGGACGGTACAGATGGTGTCGGGGGCTGGCCCATGCTTCACGGCCTTGTCCCGTGGGGTGGGGCACAAAGGCGGGGCGCAGGGCAGCCCTGGGTGCCCCGCCGCCGTTGGCAGGACTCGTGGCTCTCCGCAGCCTGTGCAGCGGTGGGCGGGGTGGTGCCCAGGAGTTGGTTCTCTGCACTTCTGGACACGTCGAGCACCCAGCATGAATTGTCTACTGAAAGTGCACACGACAAAGCCGCCTTGTGCCTGATCCACGTCCCAGGATAGGCAGCTGCCCGGCTCGGCTCTCTGAACGGGGCTGCATGGCACGCGCGCTCCTGCTCATGCCGCAACCGCCAGAGGCTCCGTGGAGAGTCACTCCGTGATTTGCAGTCGCAGGCTCTGCAGTACCTAGAGTTCCTTCCCACCAGCTCCATGACGTGACGTGTCCTTTCACAAACCCCGCCTCGGGT